TTAAAAATATTTTAAAATGTTTATTTATTAACAACAATTTGATAAAAAAGATGACTTAAATGAGGATAAATTTGAAAGTTGTACTTAAATTAGCTTAAAGCTGGAGTTTTTGAGAGACAATTAATTCCAAGACAAGCTGGAGTCCAAACTAAGGAAGCATTTCTGGTTGGACTTATATAGCCATAACTTCAAGGAAATGTAGGTCAAAGATTGGAAAGTTCCTAATAAGAAACTATATCAGCAAAGAAGAACATCTAGGTTTAAATAGTAAAGAACTTTTCTTTGACAAGAATGTGACTGTACGGGCACCATGGCAAAAATGACTAGTAACTAGATGGCCAACAAGTTTTATCATTCAAATTGACCTGAGTACTTCATGCACTAGATTTCTACAAATCTGGAATAAATGACTCGAACAACTCCATGTACACTTCCCATCAGAGAAGGAAGGCTTGTGGCATTTGGTCAGGAAAGTGGAACTAATCATTTTTTCTCTTTAGAAATGAGGTGGAACTAATTTGTGACTTCATCATGTCAGTGAAGATTGATTTGCCTGCCCTCCAATTATAGTTACTGCAGTGGTGAAATAATTTTTTGAATTTTAAAAGTTTAAACTTTATTAATCAAAACTTATGATACAACATTTTGACATTTGTATTTGGGTTAAAAGTATAGAGATTTGACATCCATGGTGGGGAGTTGATTCTCAAAATGAATAATCACTAGAGTAATACGGTGATAAAGAATTTATGTTGTCCTTAGAGAAGTAAGTTTGTATGTATGCAATAGGTAAGTGTGATGTGTGTATATATGTTTGAAATACACCCTCGACATGATTGCAGAAGTCTGGATGTATGGAGAATGTCTCCACTATTTTTCTCTTCTCATTCCCACTCTAATGGTTTTCAGCTTGGATGTGGTCATGGACTTCCTGGGATTTTTGCTTGCCTTAAGGTATATGTGCATTTCTAGAACAATCAATCTGTAAGACTACAATCATGAGGTGCTTTAAACTATTGGTGTATTTACCGTCTGTTTTGTTGTATCAGGGTGCCGCTGTCATTCATTTCCAGGATTTTGATGCTGAGGTCCTGGAATGTCTGACTATTCCCAATGTGAATGCTAATTGTCTAAAGAAGTCTCAAAATTTGGCTACAGATGTGGCAGATCAAGCAGAACTCCGTTTTTTTGCTGGTGACTGGAGTGAAGTCCATCAAATTCTCCCTCATATAGTTACCAGTGGAAAGGACACAAATTATTGCCCAGGGCGGATCAATCTCTGCTCTCCCTAGCCTCTATAAACTTATAAAGAAGGTACCTGTTCCTGTTGTCTAGTTTTTCTATTTGCTATACTTCTTGGTGGGTGAATTCAAAAATTATTCTCGTGTTGAATTTCAACATTATCTTTTTCAGTGCATGAGTCGCCCTCATGGAGTCATATACATGGCAGCAAAGAAAAATTATTTTGGAGTAGGAGGGGGATCTAGGCGGTTCCTATCTGTGGTAGAGAAAGATGGTGAGCTACACCTCTTTTGATATTGTCATATTTGCATATCTTGAAAGTTTCTGCTTCTTTTGGCTTTAATTTGCGTTCAAAACCATGTTGATGCATGAAAGTAGACTAGCTAGTCGTAGTTAATTTCGTTTATCTTCTCTGCTTATGTCTTGTTTTTAGAAGATGATTATTGCTGCCATGTAGTGTATAGTCATCAATATTGTTGGTGTCGGAGATATAGATGTTGCTTATCCACATTTAATAGCTACATAATCTATGACCCTGAGGTCAAATTCATGGTAAAATGCGATACACAGTAAAGCAACAGTACATAGTTAACTACTAATTTTGTCGTCCTCAGTGGAGATTTCTAAGTCAAATNATTCATGGTAAAATGCAATACACGGTAAAGCAACAATACATAGTTAACTACTAATTTTGTCGTCCCCAGTGGAGATTTCTTAGTCAAACTTTTAAGATGGTTAGTGTGACAACACATTTATGCCTATGGGGAGGCGTGCAAGGCAAAGGCATAAGCCATCCATGTTTGTGTTTATGCCCAAAAGCATGTACATGTAGTTTTGGAATAGGGTCAAAATAATTTATTAATTACCTTAGAGGTCTTTTCTATTTTCTGTCTTCCCTCTTTATAATTACATTGTTGCTCAACAAAATCTGATTTTTCAATCAAAGAGAAAGAGAGCTGCTCATATTTGAGCTCCACGACCACGAAACATGATTCTGCAAAAGATGAGCAGGCCTCTGCTTGCCAAGGGTGTCAAATAGGTGGGTTGGGTTCTCACAGCAACACGTGCATTGTCTGAACCCAGCCTTTTTTAATTTTTATAAAAATACAAATACAAATAAAAATATTTTTCTAAAGCAACTAGAGTGGCTATTATGCATTAATATAACATTTTTATTTTTATAAAAGAATAAAATAGTGACCAATACCAAACCTGAACGCCATTCCTATCCAGTTATTAACACCTATTTGCTTGGTCAGTACCTAGCCAGACTTTTTGGTTTGGGTTTCAACAAGTCAAACTTGGAACCGGCCCATTTTGGTTAAAAGGGTTAAAAATCACAATCCATATCCTTAAAAATGGCTGTGGGTTGTAGAAAAATTGCCATCCCTGCTTGTAGGGGGCATAAGCATTCTGGACTCCTATCCTGTTAGCCTCATTGAGGTGCAAAAACTGTTATACATTCTCCATCTTGCATCTTTCTTGCTCCACCTTGGTCCCCAGCCCAATGGCAAAATTCCCTCCGAGCTCTGTGCTTGATTTCGTCTGAGGCAAGTCTTGAGGTAAGCCTTGAGGCATGCATGGTGTGTGAAGTATGCTTGCAAGTTTTATATGGTGTTTGAGTACATGATCCACATTTTACAGGTGTTATGGCTGCTAGCCCAATTACTGAAGTTGCAGATGGCTCCTCTAACGTTCGAGAGGTTTTGAAACTTTCATATAAGTAGATTTTCTCACCATAAAACTGGTTTATGTCCAATATAATTGTAGTCAATCATCTTTAAGCTATGTTTTTGGAGAAATCTTCAGCTTGTGTTACTTTCTTGTGTACAAAAATGGATGTACTGGTTCCATGATCAGACCACATATCTCCAAAACAGTTTTTTTCTACTGATTCAGATTCAGAGTTAGTGGATCATGGTTCATGTGGTTATGTTATGAGTTACTTTGATGGTTAGTCGAATTTTGGAATAACCATTTTTCTTTGTATTTCAATTTTATGTCATATTGACACATAGTCGACCCAAAAACATTGGGATAATGCTTTGTTGAGTTGTTGAGTTGAGTATGTCATATTGAAGTATCTAGGATTTGGGTTGCGTCCCTGTTTGGATTTGGGCCTTTATTTCCCACGGCCTCGTTGGAAATACACCATCTCACTTTTTTTTACTATCCAAGGCTTTGATTCATTTTGAAATCGGGTGATCTCCCATTTTGGTATAATTAGATCAGATTGAATTGTAACTCCATAAGAGAGAGAGAGAGAGCGCAAAATACAAATACAAATATAAGAGCACATGTGATGAACATAAAGAGAGATTATGATCATGAATCACTCCTACAACGATAATACTTGGAACAACCTCTATTATAAGGGTTAGACTGACGAGGGAGACACTCTTCACTTTTCGAATAAGCTTCACCACTTTCTCCACCATTACATACTGGTTCGTCCTTCTTCAAAGTTCCTGATGAGATATACTTCCTCTGTTCAAGAAACCTCCGACTAATCTCTGACTCCATCAAATTCTCCACGGCTTCCTCACACTCCGCGATTGATCCGTTGCATGGCGTGTGGGCATGTGCATGTGCATGTGCATGGCTTGCCCAGAAGGGTTCGCTGCAGAGACACAGGATGAGAAGTAGGAGATAGAAGATGGGGAGGGGAAGCTTGATGAAGCTTGTTTCCATTTTTCCTTTGTGGATGTTCTTCTTTCTTTCCACCGTGAAGAGACTTTATGAAGTATTTAGCTTTCTAGAGTTGTTAGTGGAAGACACTACTAGGAAAGTAGAGGAGGGACCGCACTTCACCTAACTCAAGATGACGCTACATTTTACTAAATTATCGTATTGTCTCCTCCCTCCCTTTCTTTCTTTCGATGTTTTTAGGACCTAATTTACTAATTTAATTTGTTGATTTAATTTATTATGATCTTTGAATTGATTGTGGACTCTATCAAACATTAAAACTTGGTATTAATCAAATAGTTTCAATGAAGTCACGTTATTAGGTCAACAAATTATGTCATATTTTTAAGTCCAAATAACATTTTTCTCTTTCAAATATCTGATGAGGATTAGCACCGACAATCGTGTAGTTTATATCGTGTTAAAATTACACATAAAAAATCAAATAAACTAACACGACTAATGTATAATTTTGAAAAAATCTCTAAACCTAACTTGACTAGTTTATTTATATTGATGATATTACTTGCATGACTCGTCGAATATTTGTAACAAATAATTCGTATCAAGTTACACGAATTCAATAATAACTAGTTTTGTATTGCAAAAAATATAAAAAGGTAACAATTTTTTTTAACAAATACACATGTATTTGTATCATGGATTATATTTAGCACAAATGGTCATATTCGTTACCGTGTCATATTTAGTTTACGACAATATTATTAAGGATAAATATTATAATTGGTCCCTAAATTTTATTTTTAGTTTCAATTTTGTCTCTGAACTTTTAATTGTTACAATTTTGTTTCTTTACTATCAATTCCGTTTCAATTAAGTCCTTTCATTTATTTCTACACCTATTTCAAGAATTAAATTACATGTTTCCCATTTTGATTAGATTTTATTCTATTTAGTGCACCTTAGTTATTTATGTGTGGATCAATATGGGGTTGCTATGAATGTGTGGCCCCAAGTATTGGTTCCCTGTGTAGAAGTAAATATTCAGTATAACAGTTACACCATATAATTATTGTCATGTGGTATAATTATCTAATATTAAATAAACAAGTGAACAAGGTGACCTCATTTTTTTAACGTAAATGATTAGTATTTTACATGGACGAGTAATTATTTGAATAAGTAGGGTCTATTTTTTTTATTTAATTAGTTATCATTAAACGGTTACATCACATAATAATGTTTGATTATAGAGTCCTAATTATATCATTAGTGCTGATGCTCGTGGAAAAGTTATAAATATTGTTGTTGGGTCCAATTCTTGAATTAATAATAGAATTTGATAGAATTAAAAAATAAAAAGATAATGGAAGAAAGAAAGAAAAAGAATGATGATTAAGTTTTTAAAAATAATAATAAATAAAAACTAAGGAGAATGATGATTAAGTTTGAAGAAAAAATTAAGAAAGAGAAAAAAATATGTATAGCGTGGTCTAGAAGGTGTGTTTATGTCCACATACTTCTGCTTTCCTCGAAGCCCATGATTAGAGGTGGACATAATTGGATTATCTGTCTAATCATGATTGAATCAAATGATGTCCCACTACAAACATTGCAGCCCAATTATTTTTTTTGGTCTTTGAGCTGAGTTCTTGAAGAAATAAGAGTTGCAAGTGGGAAATTTTGTACCAGTTGAACTTGAACCAATTATAAAAATGTTGTGGTTCATCCCTTTATTTGTAAATATCAATCCGTCCGAGAGTTGCAAGATCGACAAATGGTTAGAGGTCTCTCGTCGTGGAGCAGAGCAAAAAATAAGTCTTTTGATACTTAAGTCAGTATTAATTTATGCTAGTAACACAGGGAGATGAGAGAGTTCATACTTTTATTAGTAGTTATTAATAGTTAGAATAATGGTAATTAAATGATAACTTTTCAAAAAAAATAAAATAAGAAAATACATATAACTTCTCACTCCGGTATGTCTCTTTTCTTTAATTCTCTCTCTCTCACGCATTCATGACAACACTTAACCATCACTCTCTTTCTTCAATTGGACCATGAGGTCCATGACTCTGTTTTATTGCAGACCAATACTTCTTGACAGTCTCTCCCATTAATTATCGTGACTTTCTTAGTTGTCTCTCTCATTTTTGATTAAAATTTCCTTCAAAATATATTATGCACACATTAATTTACAAATACGTCGTGTTTGTTACGAAATCTATTACTATGACTTTGATCAGTGTCTCTGAAGACCACTAATAGGCTTCTATGGATCCGATCGATATTCAATGAGACTACAAATAATTTTCTTTCATTGAAATTGAATATCCAACTTTCCGATGTACTAAAAAAAAAGAAATTGATGATTTTATATCACTGTTATATTAAATATTTATTCCTAAGTTTGTGCATGTTCTATTATAAGGCTGACATGAGGAATATGGTTGGTTCAATTCTAGAAAAGGAGAAAAAACTTTGGAATTTTAGGTTTTTTGTTTTTGCGGATCAGATTAGACGTTATGAAGATACTGCGGGTACGTAATGTCAATGGAGTTAGAGAAAGTAAGATTAATTATAGTTAAAAGTTGACAATACCATAGTCAAGTGGTCGTGCCAGAGTGGTTATCGGGCATGACCAGAAATTATGTGGGCTTTGCCCGCGCAGGTTTGAATCCTGACGACCGCGTTTGTGTTCCTTTTTTTTCACTATCAGGGTGGCCCCTTATATTTTATTTGCCATTAATAGGAAATTCTTTGTGAAATGCAAATATTTTATTTATTAGTTTCATTAAATTCAACTTAATTCAGTCTTGTCCTTGTATTTTTGGAGGATATATTTTCATTTGGAGTAATAGCTTTTTTTTGTCAATCCTTTTCTTTTCTTTTTTTATTAATAACTAGAATCCATTATTTTCTTCTTCTTTGTTTTTTTTTGGGAGGGGGGGGGGAGGGTTTATAATGCTAACTTAGAGACACTTGCAAATCAAACATATCATATTAATCATATCGTGTCTTGTAAGACTCAAATTTTAAAATTAGGTATTTCATCAAACTACTCTGAAGTGTTGTTTTCATTCGTATTATTATATAATAGGTTTAATTACTTTTAAATAAATTAAAAGTAGATTTACCACTTAAATAAGTAAATAAAAGAAAATAAAATTATTTCTTTAAAATCTCTTCTCTACAAAACAATTCACTATCACCACCCCCACCACCCCACCACCCCCATCACCACTATCACCATCACCATCACCGCCATCGCCACCGCCGCTATTCCACCACCACATTTGCCACAACCATCATCATCATTGCCACTATCACCACCGTCATCACCCACCATCGTTATCACTGTTGTCTACTACCATCATCATCTCATTTTTATATTTATTATCACTACCACTATCAAGACCACCTGTCCTCGCCCACCACTGTCCCCACCCGCTGTCACCCGCCCCCACCATGCCTACCATCACCAACCACCACTAACAGTCATCACCTACCAAGGTTGCCACCCACTGTCACCCATCCCCACCACACCTACCATCACTACCTCCATTCGCCACCACCCACCACCACCGTCGTCCACAAGTACCCATTGTTGCCCACCACCATCACCGTCACCCATCATCACCTACCCACACCACTACCACCATCACTGTCACCCATCACCACCTACCAACACCACCACCACCACCGTCACTCATGACTGTTATTACTACCTTCGTCACCCAAAATCCATCACCATCATCACTGTTGCCAATCATGACTACCACCACCTTCACGATCATCGTCGCCCATCACAACAATCACCATCTCCCATCACCACCACTATCACTCACCATCATCGTTGCCCACACACACCACCACCACCGCCGTCATCCATGATTACCATTACTATCATCATCACCCAAAATTCACCACCACCATCACTGTTGTCAACCATGGCTACCACCCCTGTCACGATCATTGTCATCCACCACAACTGTCATCATCTCTCATCACCTCCACTATTGCTCACCATCATTATCACCGCTCACCCCACTATAACTGGTNTCTTGCATCTTTCTTG